AAATCAGTGAGCAAGCTTAACTTCCGTTTTTTTTTCAAGACGTAGTTGAATAACAATTTCTCACGATCTTTCCTTCTTCTCCTTGCGTCTATCCGTAATTTGCTGGATGTTTCGAAAGATATTTTTTAGATAATATAGGAGAGTTTCTTCGATACCCAAGAAATTGTCCGAAGGGTTATTATATTGTAAATTATTTAATATTAATACTATTATATTATACTATTTTATTGGGAGCTACTTTCATCTTGCATTAAACATGTACATTTATTACTTAATTTTTTGAAATTGTATTTGATGTATTATAACGAATGAATAGTTATTCGAGAGTAATTTTTGACTCTGAATATTGGGCATAGAGTACGAAAATGGCAAAAGAATATCGAATATCAAGTTTTTAGAGGAACTGTAAAGCGGAGACTTTAATCTTCAAATCCATTTTCCTAGATTCAATCGTCAAAAAACTTTTCAATATTATATTTACATTAAATTGGCAATTTATAAAATTTTCAATAAATCCTAGAATAAAATAAATTATACATTTTGAAAGTAGAGACTTCGAAATCAGGTTTATTGTTGTTCAGGATATTGTTCTATAATTTAAATATCTAGTATCCGAATATTAATGTGAGTAACTGTACAGTGTTGGTGAATTACACGTAATCCACAAAAACAACTTCGTTCTGAACTAAGCTCCACAAACTACAGGATGCAGACGTGCTTGCAAGTCATGAAAACAATATGTGATCCTATTTCGAAAATTTATATGCCCCGAATCCGAGAGATTCGTAACACAACTGTGAACAAATAAAACAGGGATAAGATTAGGAGTAAGGTAAAATTTGGAATTTAATGAGATAGAGGATATTCAAAATACCTTCAGTAAGAAAATTTTCATAAAATCCGATGATAATATTTGAAGAAAAGACATCTATATTTATATTTAGAATTAATCTACATTTATATTTACCTAAAAAAATATTAAGGTGCTTATAATGAAAATTCACACGAAACAGACTTTAATTTCATTCCTGTTACTGATCAATTACTATAATATTCATCTAAGTTACAGTAGAATTCTACAATACCATTGTCTACCGAGAATAACAGGACCTTTGACTATGAAAAACATAGACTGGACATTAAATGGGGCTTGGTCTTTGAGGATCTGAAATACCGACCAGGAAAGATATCACTGGCTATTAGCACACTCTACGCATCAACAACGGTTAGTTGGAGAACTACATTCAGCAAAACGAAGGAGGTTGGTCAAGCAGTGAATGCGCCAGAAATATGATTTTTGAAATCCAGAAAAAGCCTTCCACGAATTCTTCTAACAGGAGAACTAATTGGAACAATATCGCAATACTAAGAGTTAAAAAACTGGAAATCGCGATGAAATAACGTCGCTACACTAACTTTAAATCTAAATTCAATGACAATTATCACGAACAATCAACTCTATCAAACTCTAACATTCGAAAATTAATTAAAAGCAATGATTCTATAATTTAATTTAAAACGATAAAATGCAAGATAAATTTTATTACGTATAACACTACGAAAACTACAAAAATTCAAATCAAAATTGCAAGACAATCGCGGTATCATGGATGGCAATTCTAAAGCAAGCACCATTATCATTTCTTCGCGACTCTAATTTAAACCGTAATTAATTTTCCGCAAACGTAAACAAGAAAATCCACGACTTGCCCAAAAACGAAGATGAACGATGACAGAGGAGAAAAAAAAAATACAACTACAAATACTAAAAGAGCATAGTGACAAAGTAGTAACGAGAATGACTTCCTATGCTCTGGAATCATTTAAATGATCCAGAAGATGAGAAGCCATTTGTTGTGACCCTCTTCGTGGCAGTTTGCCGGGCCTCTTCTTTCTTCGAGCGCAATGCCCGCTGAAACTTACATCTAGCTCGAGTCTTTTTCGCAATCCAAAACATAATTTATAAAGGTGAAATAAAAAGATAAATTGCAGAAGCTGACCCTAATACATGGACGACCATCGATCATAGTGATCGTTGTCCGTTCGCACGTGCGTGCTCGAGCAATACCTACAAAAACGTTCGTTTCGGGACTTACTCGCGACATATCCGCGACCGCGACCGCGATACTAAATTCGAAAAATCGAAGAGTAAAATCAGAAACAAGTGGCATGCTCCATTTGTACCAATTATTTCACTGTCGATTTTTTAAATTAGATTTCCTGAAACAGGTTGGACACGCGAAAAGGAGACACGCGACCAGAGACTGTGCCAACCTGCCCGGCCCTACCTACTTATAATTAAAAACAGGCATACCAGAATGTAAGTTACCTATCCTACCCAGCCGCCCTATATTTAAAAAATGACAAAACAGGCACGCCAACACACTCACTCCACGGTTCTCACACATACCACTCGGGCACAGACCTAAACTAGAGAGGAAGTCCCGGGACACCTCCGATACCCGAGTTTAACACGCAACTTTCACACTCTAATTTACGTACCATTTTCCTGAAATCGACTGACAATGGCTAGCGACCATTGCGTAAATCAACTCGTAACACGTTCATATTTACAACTAATATTAAGAACAAATTACACGTGCAAGTTAACTTGGAATCGTTATTATAATTGATGGTATAATTACAATAATAATTATAGTGTATTTATGATAACAAATTCGTAATTCTTTAAATTAGTGTACAAATATTTTAAATATTACAACTTGTAATGAATGGAACAACAAAAACGACGCAATTTCACATCCTAATCGCACACATACATGTAGGAACTACGTCGTGCACGATACGCTAACACATTGTCAGTCGCTGAGAAATTTTTTATAAAATTTTTTATAAAATGGTCATCGTGCCCAGTGTCTTTCACCCACCCAAGTAGCACCTGGGCACGTGAGTGAGATCCTGACATTAAACACGGAAGAGGTTAAACCTGAAAATCCTGAACTAGAAAATGATTAGTTTATGTATTTAATTTGTATCTAACGGACTATTGCATTATTTTATTTCAAACTGAATTCACTCTAGGCTTTCGAAAATTACTGACTTTGCAAGAGAATAAAGACAATGAACAAGATTTGAATTTGTTACAAAAGATATTACAAACAATCTAATAATTGACTCGAACAATCAAAAACAATTAAGTATTAATGAAAACAATCTCAGACGACTTCTTCATCAAAGCACATTTTCGAAAATGCGAAAACAGTGTTCAAACTTGTTGCTTTGACTCAAAAATCTGCCTGTCGCGAAGTATCTTCTTGCACATAAATTTTTATACATTTTTCTACGGAAAAAATTCTGATCTGTCATATTTCAAGTGACTACTGAAGTTCACAATTATAAAACTCAATAAATTAAATCATTTAATACTACCATAAAATATAAGATAAAATTGAAAATTATTAATTATCATAACAAAATATATTACCAGTATCAATAAGTAACAACTGCATCTTTCACAGAAACGAAGTCGGAGGATATCCGTCTTCTTTACCATGAAATGCTCGAACGAAATTGTTTCAATAATAATTATTTATAAATATTTATAATTTGTCTATTCGTATAGATATTTTACTTTTGCAAACATTTATATCGAAGATATAATGTTTAATTTTACAAATAATTACTATAAATATATGTATACTAATTGTTAAAATCGCGATGTGCAAGAAGTCCTATCCTGATCTAATAGATAAGAAAACCTCGCAAAAATGTTACTACTCACGGGTACCAAGAAATATCCGCGGTCACTATGCTCATCAAAAATCCTACGTATACAACCAGTCACCCGTGCCGATTTGGACCTTTCATCCTACGACATGATTGAGTGACCGGAGGAACATAAATGCATGCGACTCACGCGATAGATACGAAGACCGTTGTCATCAATACTGCCGAACCAAGAAAAGTCGTCGTGAAGATCCTGATTAAGCAGATATCACTGAGAATCCCACGGTGGAAGAGAACGCCGTAAAAAATTTCTAGAGGCATGAAGACACAGTGTTATTTGTATAAATTTAAATTTTGATAATGATAAAAATTGGGAGTCTAATAATTTGAAATGTTTTTATCTTTTAGTTATAATTACACATTTGACTTGAATAGAAAGAGAACCATATACAATAGAATTAAGTCAAGTACAATGTGCTAAAGAACTTACATTCTTAGCTTTTGAAGCATCGCAAAATTATTAGAGGATAAGGGAAACAGAGGAGGCTGTAGAGGATCTGTAACAAAACATAACACATTAGAATTTGTATTTAAAAGCGAAGCAAAATCTTAAGTTGGAGATAATGAAAAATTCTTACATTCTTGGCTTTAGAGCCACCGTTGGATTTTCCTCAAAACATGCAACAGAATTGATGCTATTAAACTTCTAGAACAAACGTCAAACATACTTTGTTGTTAAATTTGAGAAATTGGATAAATTGAGATACAATATACAAAACTACTTACGATCTTGATCTCCAGGAGAGGCCTTATCCTCTTCAGCACTGACTCTAATACCGAAAACGAATATTGAACAAGAAAAAGTACAAAAAACGAAATATAGAAGACTATCAACGCGCGCGACTAAATAACAATCGGTGGACTCACTGATTCTAACTTCGCGAATTATAATTTGAATGAATTGACAGTTTAGTTTAATAAGAACCATTTTGTTCAGAAAAATATAAAAATATTTCGCAACAAACAACTCTACCGACCGCATTGCGCGCGGTCACTATAATTTTCTGAAAATAAAACTGATTAGTAGGGGAACATATGTTTTTTTATTTTTATTTTTAAAAATATGCTATTTTTTCAGAAAATGATTAGTTAAAAATATTGTAAATCATAAAATAATTCTCAATACTAATTACTATAAATGAAAGACAACTATTTGCAGACATTATATTCTGAATGGTCATTATTAGAGTTTGTAGTATACACATTAGTAATATACTGCATATTGTGTGTATAGTAATATATCAGGTATTGTAAGTATTCGAAAATGTCAAATCAAAATTTCATAGCTGAATGCATTCAGGAAGTAATACCATAAAAAACGCGTGTGAAATCTTGCATTGAAACATTTCAATTGTATGTCAGTATCCGGAAAAATATATAAATTGTATGCCAAATATATATAAATTGTATTGGGTACCAAATGCTACTCAAAATGTATAAAATGTTACAAAGTTTCCGTGATTGAAGTTCATTAGATTGTCCATAAATGATCATGGAGTCCATGCACATCCATGCTGCCTCTGTAATCAAGGAATAACCTGTACAACGAGAAACCAAAAGTCAGAACGAACAGGTTAAATAAAGGCAAATATATAAAAAGGAAACGATAATTAATCTCAAATTCTGTTGAAAAGACGTACGAGAAGATCTGCCGGTAACCATACCAGTGAAATCGACGACTGGGAAGGAAAAACTGGAAAAAAGATTCTAATCACTATACGATTTCGTTACCATAATGCTCGTTAAACACATGCGTATTAATTAAACGATATTAATTAATTAAACAATACTATTAATGAAGTATAAATGAAAGTAAAAGATTGTCGGAAAAGTGACGCCATGGAAGAGACGCCATGATAGGTTAGAAAAAGTTACGAACCTAACGCGACGTAATGCGTGTTGTTGTCATGAAATTCGACAGCCAAATGACTCTCCTTGACACGTCTCGTGCAGCACTTGAGAAAATATAGTAGTAGGGGATGAGGCGATACCGTATGAACAGGCACGACAATCGGAACGAACACAAACAGTGTTTGTGTCGTTGTTTTGAAATTGTATACTCGAGTTTCCAGACCTACTTCAATTGAATAATTATATTATTACGCGGTAGAAGTATTATTTTAATTATTATATTAAACATTTATATGCTGTTACTTCGTTAATTGTTGCAAAGTATATGTAGAATTATATGGTTAAACCGTAACTTGAGTTGAAGACAAAAATGCACCTTTCATCTTATAAATACACAGTACATACACAAATCCAACAACTATTGATTTAAATTTTTACCTGACATCTTCTGGCTGGCAATTTTTTTCGATGATTGTCCTGGATAACATTTCCTTCTTTACAGATGACGTGTACTTCCTTCCGCCATTAAAGCTCTGCTCTCCCGCTTAAAATTCGATTATGAGAAATATCGATTTACTTTCGAGGATCATAGGAAGAATGTTCCGTATTTCACCGTGGTGAGGCGCTGTAATCACTTCTTGACCAACCTCCTTCGTTTTGCTGAATGTAGTTCTCCAACTATCCGTTGTTGATGCGTAGAGTGTGCTAATAGCCAGTGATATTTTTCCCGGTCGGTATTTCAGACCCTCAAAGACCAAGCCCCATTTAATGTCCAGTCTATGTTTTTCATAGTCAATAACAGTACTTCCGATGGTAACACAAGTTTATGCATATTTTTAATACATATGGATAATTTATTTGAAATTATTTACTCTACAACGTGAATTGGTATTAATTTAATTAGTAGGAAGTAATATTTATTTGTAATTGTCACAATGTATATGTCTATCTACTAGTGATGAAATTCATTTCTATATTATTTGCAGTTGATAAATTATATTATTACGGAATATAATTTATAAGTTCATTTAAGAAATTCTTTTTTTATAATATGATTTGGCAAGCATTTTTTCAATATTTAATGATGTAATATTGCTCTAATTCTTTCCAAGTTTGTGACATTACCATTTACAATATATTATAAATTCACTCTTTTATATTGAAATTTTTATAAATTTATGTTAATATTAATCATGAAATATATTTTAATTTCGTGTTAAACGTCTGTTCTTATATATTAAAATTAAACTCGCTAGTGACACGGAAAAATACGCGTTGCGCGCTAATAATTTTAATGAGACACAAAATTAAATACGCAAATTTGGTTCTTTCTTGACCGGAGAACCAAAAATATATATATATATATATATTTATACTTGATGTGTACTGAAATACCCTAAATTAAGAATACTCTAAATTAACATCTTAATGATCGTACGCATCACTAAAAAAAAAAAAGCAACAATACAAAATTTCGTACCAACGAGAAAGAAGAACCTAATAGCGATAACTTCGATTGTACGAAGCGAAAGGAAGGAAATTTATTGGTGAAAGTTTCGTGAAATGCGCGCCGCCGGCAGCTATTTTTTTCCGTCTGAGGTATGCGACGCTGAATATTTATAGCCGGCAATCAATCAAACTGTATCGAACGTTTTCGTTGCTCGCGAACCTTCTCCGCCGTTCGGCGAGGTGATTGTCCAACACGTGAAAGTCATTTTATCGTTTCGCTGTTTCCGCTGTTGCTTTTCGTCTTTTTGAACCGCCCAACTTTTCTTTCTTTTATTTTCTTTTTCTTTCTCGTCGTCTTTTGCTCTCACGACTGTATTCTTGCAAACTACGAACGCAAGTGGGGGGTACGTAATGCGTTTCCATTGAATTTAATGATAGCACGTCGAGGCGAGCGCTGGCTTGTTCGCCGGTCGCACTTACACGCTTATGCATCACATAAATTACCGAGGACATCCGTGCCATTTACAAAGCTGAGCCTTGATGAGTCAAATCGCCTGATTACCATATGTTTACCGTATGCCGAGTTCTATACTAGCGGGCTGCAATAATGTCGGATAAATTATAGGCCTGTAATTCATTCCGTCTCGCGTAGAAAAAGGAAAACGCTTATGAAGTTTTCACCCGGCTGGTCGATTAGCCTCGCGACTTCTGGCTTATTTTCATCCACCAGTGTGTTAATTGCCGCATTCGCGCCGCTGTTCACCTACAATGAACATCATGCACGCGTAATGAGTGTCCTTTAACTTGTCCCTGGAACTACCTGAGCTGATCAAAATGACCAATTTATAATTTTTATTAGATATTTTATAGATGTGAAACAGCGTACTTTTGGAAACTCTAATAATTTTTAACGAAATATAAAAATAATATCGTTTTTATTTTTATTTTTTTTTTTTTTTTTACTATTATGTGTAATAAATCGTGCTCTTTATTGCATTATGAATTTTTTCTCGTCCCCTGCATTTTAAATTTCTCTGTCACGAATTTCACACCGTAGTCGGTATAGTAGGTAGTTGTAATATTGAACATCGACAACTTTTGAGTGCGCAATTTCATGTAACATCCTGAATATAAATTGAGAGAACAGTTGCAATTAAAAAGGAGCCTCTGCAATTAAAAAGAACTGTCTTTAAATTTTAGGTGGCCACGCGTGTGAAGAAGTGAATTACGATTTTTGAATGTCGTTGAGTTACGACACTCGTAAACTGATCAAACGTATTCGCCGGAGAAAATGCAACGTCGTAAAACGTTACATCTTATTACGACGCGGTTGCTTTTAACGACACGGTGTAACGATACTCGCGTGTCATAAAATTAAATAGTGCGTGGCGAAATGTTGCATCTCTTGGTTGGCTAGCAAACGAAAGGCAAAGAGCAATAAAGTGGCCGGCTGGAATTATCGCAAATAATCTAGTTAATAATACACACTACCGTGCAATATTATATACTACCTATTCCTCCGAAATAGATATCCTGTCGGTTTCGGATAGAATTATATTTTCTCAACAGATCAGATTATCTTATTAATAGTCCGTGGATTTTTGCACGATTATTATTAATTATTTTTAGGAATATAATTTCAAAGATTGAATCGCGGTTGAAAATTGTTTTACGTACTAAATTCTGTGGAAAGCAGTATACTTTTATGCGTTTATTGCACCGTGAAATTTCTTATATATTAATCATTTGTCGTGCAATTTTTTCAATCGCCTTGAACAAGCGTTAATTATTATAATTTTTACAATATCTCAGATAACATTGAAACACCATATATAAAATACTTATTAATAGGCTGCGAATGTTCATGCATTTATGGAAAATTTCAAAGTTTGCAGAATGCGAACGTTCAACGTTCAGAACTATACAAAATATCGAAAACTACACAAAGGTAGAATTTGCACGAACATATGCCGTCTACTTACAAATCTTCAATTTAAAGAATTGAAATTTAAAGTTTGAGTTAACGAATCGAACCATAATTCGTGCTGTGATCGTGACTCGATTATAAGACAAAACGCAATCGCAAATTGCCATGAAGTTATATTTAAAAAATCGAATTTTATCACGAAGAACAAAATTATTACAATCTGAACTAAGTTTGTGTAATTGTTTATTTTTCAAATGCGACATGGATGAGTTGAGAACTTTCGCACGACACTATAAACGTATGGAACGTATATACGTGTGTATGTATATCATGGCCAGTGTTGCTGCTGGTAAAAAGGAAACGCAACGACTTATAAATCTCGAGCCAGTTGTTTACTATATTTATGAGGAAGTTCTAGAAGGCAGTTTCCGTCATTTATTAGCGCGAACTTATCTCCGGCTGTTCGGCTCGTTCGTTTCGATTGGAAACGTCGAACACGCTAGCTCGATATAAATTACGATCGCTATCTCTAGCCTAGTCACTATCCATACTACTCAGATGCCCGCTCGGAATCCTGCTAATCCCGGCAGCGACTATCGATAACCAGGTTATATTTCGCGTGTCAACTCCCAGTTTCCTTTCACAACTCATTCATCGCTCATTGCCAAACAATATCTCTGGACAGCGTCACGCTTCGGATTTAATTAAATCCGTGCGCGCGCGCGCGCGCGCCAACGATACTGATGAACGTTGATAAATTTGGAAAAATGGCGATAAATATCCGTTATTCGATAAATATACGTTCACGTCGTGTGTCGCTTCGATTGAGTTTTTAATTATTTGAGGAATTGAAGTTTATATGTTTATATGCAATAATCATCATAATTCATATGTTGTGCAATTGTCCACGACTCCCTAAAACTTGCTCTGCGATCTTTCCCCATTATTTCATTAAATTTTGAATGTTAAGAAACGAAATATTCGGATTTCCGGAATTTTTGTCGTTTTATCTCTAATGCACGTGGTTTGACAAAAATGGTGAAAAAGAATGGTGAAGATTTCAATCTCCAAGCCGTTCAGAAAATTAATTACGAGTGCCAAAGTTGATCAAACAAAACATAATAAGCATACGTGTTACAAGAAGAAGCTCCTCTTCAATTTTGTAATTCATGAGTCTGTTTAAAGTTATAAATTCTCATGCTAATGAACGGAAGCGTATAGGCGGGAGAATTTTAAATTAAACGACCTATTACGAATTGAATAAACATTACAACGCAGCAAAGATCGTAGAGTTTCCATTAAATTAAATTAAAATAATTCCAATGGAATTATAATGATCCTCGCCTGGTACAAACAAGCTACTCGTTTTACCCGGGATGTTGTTGTAAATTTACACGTAAACGAACGTCACGTGTAACGGGGGAATAATTGGACACCTACCAAATGAGACAAGACGACGTAAACTCGAAACTAGAATATCGATTCCTCTAGGTGCAATCCGTTGCGAAAGGATTTAGTGCAGCACCGTTTATTAGCTCCTCCTTATCTATTGCTGTTCATTCATTTAGATTGGAAATGCTGAACACGCTGGCCGAGTATAAATTACGATAGCTATCTGCTGCCTTGTCACTATACGTAGTACTCGGAGCCCCCGGCCGGAGTCCTACTAACCCCAGCAGCAAACTTTATCACGTGAGAATTTGTTATACGACGCTCGATTTGCATACAGTCAAGGCCTGTGTTATTGTGATCATGGATTCATTATCGAGAAATTATTTCCCCCTTCTTCCCTCTCTTCTTTCGGCCTGCTTGCTTCTTTCCTTCGCGCAGTATTTTGTTAATTTTTTTAGATAATTTTAATTATCGAGAACCGATTTTACAATGAATTTATTATCATATCATTGTATGAATCAAAACATGATTGAAAGAACAACGTCAAAGTAAAAGCTTCGAATTTTAAAATGAGGCTAAAAGTAGATTGTTGTATGAATTTTTTTCTTTTTTTCTTGCGAAATTATGACAATTCGAAGCAACGACAATTTTTATGCATATGAATAGTTCTGTGAACGATTGTACAACGCGTATATTTATATATTCGTATTTTATTTCAAAATGCTAGATACAGTATCGAAAAAGTGCGAAAAACATGAAAAGACGCCCTAATTTTACAAAGTTGAATTGATATAATTATACCTGCTACAACAGACGAACAAACATTTAAGAAAGAAAGAAAGAAAGAAAAAAAAGAACGTCCAATTCTTTTCTTGCCCGTCACTGTATACAAAAAAAAAAAAAAGAAAAACCTTCTCTCTCATTTACCAGCGCGACGAGCAGCAACGCGTTGAATCACGCGTAATTGCGAAACGTTGATCGTTTCGCCGATGAAACGCGATGTCAGAAATGTTACGTCGGAATCGACAGACGTGCAAACGATTTGTTTTATCAAATAATACTACCACGGCGTTTCGACAAGTCCTAACGAA